TCCAAATAAACCCAACATTTTTCACATACCAATCTCAGCGCCCAAGCCCTGCATCCCCGAGACGAGAATGTTGGAGGCAAAGAGCCGGCGCATGGTCTCCCTGCCATACACCGCCAACTGCCGGCTGTGGAGATCTTCATCGATATCGTTCGAGCTCCCGTTGCCCAATGCCATGATTGGAGATTCTTCGATGCTGCTACTGCTGTTGCTGTTTTTGTTAAAGGTCGTGGTGTTTTTGTTTTCGTTGCTCTTAGAATCGTCAGTAGTCGCAGCTCCGCGAGGCTTCTTGATCGGAGATTCCGTGGCTTCGTTTACTACAACCTCTCCGCCCACTGCTTCTCTCTTTCTAGGAAGCATATAGTGCGATGAACTGCCGAAACACCAAAATCTCATTTTATCAGTAATCAGTCTCAGATTCCACACTCTATCCAAAAAACCTAACGCAGTCTCCGATTAATTAAACAATAAAAAAAATCCTATATCATCTTAAACTAAAATTAAACCCTAATATCACAAGATCGGTTTAAACGCACTATATAAATTTCTCCAAACAACAGAATCCGGAAACAAAATCAAAATTTTCTTTTCGTATAATTTTCTCGGGAAACAAACAGAAACTAAAAAGCTAAACAGTGATCTAAAATCTACCGATTCCAAAACTAAATACATAGATCGATTCGATGCGATAAAGCGAAGAGGAAATCAAGCGAGTGAAGCAAAGAAGATATACCGAGACGAACTGTGGCGAAGAAGCGACGGTGAAAATATCTGGAGAGAGAGAGAGGAAGCGTCGATTGCAGGTTTTTGTTATGGTTTCTTTTTGTTTCAGCTTCTGCAGAGAGATGCGATGGTCCTGATGTCCCGGTTCATCTCTCTTTGTAGAGAGACGGAGAGAGAGAGAGAGTGAAAGAGGTGGGCCGAGAAAGGTGGACTTGGATTGGGGTAAAGGGAAAAGATGTCCTTCGGGGCTTGTTTGGGAGCGGGGATTAGTGTAATCTAATAGGGATTGTGTTAAAACTTTGGGTTAGTTATCCTGGATACCAACACGACTGTTGGGATATGTAGGGTAATGATATCCGTATACTTATTTTTACTTTTTTACACATCTCTTTCAATTTTCAACCGTTAAACCGACTGCACTAAAAAAGATCAGTAATAAAAATTTAACAATAACGCGTGTGAATTAAAAATAAACGTACGAATAACATTGTTCTAATTAATATAGCGTCATTGTTTTTTTTTCTTGTTAACAAACAGATAAATGTTTGTGAAATTGTCGGCGTTGGAATTTAAATGAACCGACAGGGGATTTGCGTTTGCCAATTTGATTTTGTTTTGTTATTCTTTCTTGGTGCTCAGAGATTTTCCGAAGCTCCAACAATTTATATTGATTTGAATTCAACAACTTGGAGAAGGGGCTAAGCAATCTAATTTTATATTTGGTATCCACAAATCGAACTTATTTTGATGTTGATGGGGCTCTAAAATTTGAAACTTTAGGGTGCGTTTGTTTCACCGAATTATTTCGGATTACACTAGTTTCAGGAACTAAGCTAAACTAGCTTGGAATAAACTAAGCTTGACTGATTTAATGAAGTGTTTGGTGTAATGATGAACTAAGAAACATGATTTAAATATTATATTATTTAATTTGTACCTATTAATATTTTATTATTAATTTAATTTATATTTATTAATATTATATTATTACTTCTACTTTTTCTTTTGTTCTTTTCTAGAATCATGTTTTCCTATTATTTTCTCCGCCACTGTCTTCCTCCCGTCTCCCCTTTTTCTCCCTTATTTCGCCTTCTTGTTCTCTGTACCAGGTTGCTCATTGCTTTGTTGTTCCCTTCGTTTTTCCTTTGCCTCCGTGTGTGAGATAGGGGTTGAATTTTAAGTTGGGGGCGGGATGCATGTGTTATTGGCTCTAAGGTGGGAGATGGGGGTTGAATTTGGTTTGGGTTTCTGGGTTCAAATTTTGGGAGAGTTTTGCGGGATATGGGTTTGAAAGGGTTGTAGGAGGCGAGGAAGGAACATATTGGAGGGGCGTAGCGGGGAGGGTGAAGCGTTGCAAAGTTGGGCTTAGCAGTCCGCCCGATTTTTTGGGGGTCTCGCTAAGACACTCTAGCGAAGCTCGTAGTCCGGTTTAGTCGGAGCGAGTGTCATTAAAGTTAGTTCCCGTGTGTAACAAACATAGGATTACACTACCATTTAGTCTAATGTAGTCCAATGAAAGCTAAAGAGGGCAAACAAACACGCCCTTAGGGTATTACGAAGTAACTTTAACTTTAACTTAATACGTTAACTTAATAAGAGATCGATGATAAACTTATAAACATCTCAAAATTTGAGTAGAAAAAACATGTTTGAATTGATCCACCCTAACCCATATAAGAGAAAATATTTATTTTCTTGACATCGCGCAAGGAAACATGACCATAGACGAACTACTTTGTATGATTTATATATTGTAAAGACTACAAACATATTTTTATAACACATCTCCTAATCCAATACAACTTCGTTCATGTTTTCTTATTGAACAAATGTCCGATCGTGTTTAAAGTAACTTTATCACAAATGATTCCTTATGTTTTTGTTAAGTAATTGATCTGGTCTTTTCTGGTTCAAACTCATATATTTCATTTTCCATCTCTAGAGTCACTCATTAATTTCATTTTTATCATTAAATTTAGTTATGTTTTCTTATAAAAACAATGGCACGACGCCACATGTATTAAGTGAAAAAATATATTAAAAATAATTTAAATGTTTAAAAACCATAAATAAATAAAAAACAAGTTGAGCCATCCCATCTGAGGGAATTTTGGAATGGCAAACATGAAAGCAACAGCTCAAATTTTCCAATTTTCCATCGAATACAGTAAAAAGAAATGAGCGTTGTAGAATAGATAGAGAAATAATGAAAAAAATTGCGTCGACAGCAGGATTCGAACCTGCGCAGGCAAAGCCCAACAGATTTCGAGTCTGTCTCCTTAACCACTCGGACATATCGACAGCCGTGTCAGAGCAATAGAAATAAGTAATATACCAACTCAGTGTGTCCCACTATTCGTTAATTTGCAAAGGGGGATTTTTCACCGTCGGGCGAGCCCTAAATTCAACACAGATACGTTCCCACCAATTTCTCTTTAATTTGAAAATTTCCAAAATCTCCGACAGTTGCAGCGAATCCGATTCCTCAGAGAAATGGGAGAAGCTTCTGGAATTTCGAAGCTGATTTCGTACAGCGACGATCTGGTGAAGGTGTTGAAGGACCAGAGGGACATCACCAACTTGGCGCGGTGTCTCCAGCACTACAAGGCCCTCCGCTCCTCCTGCAATTCCGATTTCAATGAAGTCCAGAACTCGCTTCGAGGTTTGATTCCTCACTTGGGTTCTGTTTGTTTCCCGAGAAAGTTTCTGACCCAGAAAATTTTCAGTTGCTTATACTTTTTTCCACTTTCAAGCAAGTTAAATTACGCCTTAGGTAAATCTGGGATTGTTTAGTTTAGAAACTTACTTTGTGCACACCCGTAGAGAGCTCCACCTCAAAATGTAGGGTTCTAAACCATTTTCCGGGAAAATGTTTTCGTAAGAAAAAAAAAGGGGGGAGAGAGGGGTTAGGTTCAATTTGGTTTTTTTTTTTCTGGTTGATTTCGTATTTCCCTTGCATAAATGTTTCTCGTAAAGAAGATATTTGGCTGGTGTTGTATGTCGATACGTGCATTGATTGATGAGTTCTTATATGAAGCAGACTATGAGATAAAGACAGATGAATGCAAGCAGAAAACCGAGGCAGCAAAATTGGAGGTTGTTGCTGATGAAGAGTTAGACCGTCTTCAGAGAGAGTTTGATGGGGATGCTGAAATAGAAAGTTCGCTTATGGAGGAGATTAGATAAGTATACATTTAGTTGTGTTGGCTTTCAGATTTTTTATTTTAGGTTGACTAGCAATGGTTGCTGATTTGGCTCTCTTTTGCTTCAACACAGTTCTAGGCAACGAGATTAGTGAGTTTGAACGCCAGAGGATTTCTGTTCAGGAGAAAAAGCGAAACTTGAAGAGACACGAGCAAGATGAGTTCAGGGAACAGTAAGTATTTAGAAGTGTGATGCTAACATTGTGGCGATTCTTTCTCTTCTGTTCTCAGTGTTCTTATATTTCTTAGGTTCTAAAAAATACTGATAAAAGTCTATGCATTCATCATAGTAGTGGTTGCTGTAGTTGTACCGGTCATGAGACGGATTGTTTTGGTCTTATTTTTCTCTGTCTCTCTTGACAGACTGACAATTCAATTCTAGTCAATAAAATATTTTCTCTTATCTACAGGAGGAAGCTCTCCATGTATGCTTCTGTCACAAACATTATACCAAACCTGGAAAATAAGTCGCGTGATATGGGTTGTATCCTACTGCTGAAACTTACCTATTACTTGGACATGCATATTCCTTCATTTATTTGTTCGTTCATTTTTTTTTTTTTTCTTTCGTGCAATGTTATTTAAAGTATGATACAGCTGTAATCACCTTGTTTTCCTTAAGTCTAAAATTACAGATATTGTGGATAGCAATAAGAAAATTGTTCAGAAGTTTGAATTTGATCCAACAAAGATGACTGCCTCTGAAACATGTGATAGCATTTGGAAGATGATATCTTCATGATATATCTTGAACATTTTCCCTTCAGACGGCTTGTATAATATAATATTTTCCATGTTTGTTTGCTTCTTTTATGTTGTCCTACAGCTTGATATTGTGTTTTTGAGAAGTGATCTTTGGGAGGTTTGTAACTTATGATGACATATTGTAAAGCACCTTTCAAAGTTGATTATCGGGGATGGTGTTGCTGCTGCTTGGAAACATATTGGTTGTGTACTTGTGTTTTACTGTCTATTTTGTTGTAGCGTAAGTTTGAAGGGCGTATTAGAAAGTCATATATTTGAAATTCAGTTTCATTCATAACTATTGAACCAAGATACAATACATATAACGCTGGTCAATTATTCATAATGATAATGCTGCACAGAGCAAAAGATATTGCAGAACCATGTATGTGAATCACACTGAAGTTTCCGCCTTCATCTACGAAGTTTTAGCTGTTCCTGGTGTTCTTCACCCATGTAGCACCTTTGTCTAGTAGAGTTTTCCTTATCAGTTGAGTTGATATTGGGCGGAAGTGGTTTGCAAGCCTCTGGTTTTGGACTTCCTTCGTAAGCCGCACAGACAATGGGTACAAAGTTTTGGTAGGACTACAACCAGATATGAAGAGTTCAGTATTGTATGTGTGCTTGCAGGCGCATTTTGTGTGTGTGTGTGTGTGTGTGAGAGAGAGAGAGAGAGAGATGGAATTTACTTCATAGAGTGGTCCATTATTGACAAGAACCCATGGCACATAGTTGTGAACCGGATCAAGATGCGCTGTCTCGTTTGCATATTGTAGTATAAGCTGCATGCCAAATTATAATCATTTTGTTTGTTGAATGAAAATTGTTTGGATTTGTATACATGAGTTTCAACAAAATGCTGTTTAACAAATTAGTGGGAACCTTTTTCTCTAACCCGCTGTCGTAGCAATCTTGGACAGGTTTTGGATCCATCCCTAGTTCTTGAGAACAAGATTTCCATTCATCTTTCGACTGCTTTCCTTGAATAGTTTGGTTCTCAATGCAATGAATGAATTTGAAATGCTGTGTCTGCATCAGAGTTAAAGTGATGATGAAGATCAAGTGAAAACTCTGTAAGTAATCCTATTCGTATCATTCATCTTTCATTGTTTTTTTCTGTAAGGTCTGTGGAAATCTGCAAACATCTCCTGGACAAGATTCATATCGTTTTAGGTTGTAATGGAAAGAAAACTGTGAAAACTTATGATTTTGTCATATGTGTAAGTATATATTTATTATTTTCCTAGATGTTGAGGAAAAGAAGATGGCCATACCACATCTGGGTAGCTGTTGATAGCACAGGCTTCTATGCTGTTCAAGTAGCACTCATCCGGGCCGTGCTGCAGAGTGTTCAGCACCAACAAATTCGTTCAGCACAGGTGATGATAAAAACACAGAATGATAAAAGCCAATTTAAAAAAAAAAAATGATGAAGATGGGAAATCATAAATCTGACCTGGCAAACGATGGTGCTGTTAGGTCCTTGTATATGAGCATTTCCATATGGGACTAGCCTGAAGTTCACAATGTTGATGAGATCTGTGTTGAATACCTTTGATAGTCCATTTACGATGAACTGTGCACAGAATGGGCATAGTGTTTCGTAATACAGAGTCAGGTCAACTTTCTTAGCTTTGGTAGGAGGCGTAGGAATAGCACTAGGAGCTTCTGTAAGTTTTCGGGATTTTGGCGAAGGTGGGACTTTGCTGCCTTGATCTTCAAAAGAAGAACAAGACACGCAAATGATGAGCAAAGAAGTTAGAATGAGAAGGGAGAAGAGCTTAGGAGAAGCCATTACTGAATGCTTATTAGCAGTTAGAGCACACTGAAGCTATACACATGGAAGCCTGCATATATATATATATATAGCTCCTCCAAGTACCACTGTACCACCCACCACCGGACCAAGCTGTTTCTCTACATTAAATCTTAGACTGACCAAAATACCCTCTTTCGTTTGCTGTGGGCTATGATCGCCATGCCACCTTAAGCGGGAAAGCGACAGTCGCGTATCTTCTCAATGTGTTGAGAGATGACTTGTATGACAGCTCTTAAATTTCGTCATTTGAGTTGATTGAGTTGCATCGTCGAATCAGCATATGTTGCTTACTTGAGGATGATGAAACTCTGCTAAAAAAGGAAGATTAAGGAAAGATAAGGCAATTAATTGCAGAGCCCAAACTCTTGAAACTGTGGTAAGAAAGGAGAACTATGACAAATTAAGGATTGCAGTAATTAGGAGTTGGTACATTTTTGGATTATTATCATTTATTCATTTGACGTGTCCAATTAATGTATTTAAGAATCAAATGTCTTGTACAGTCAATGAGCTATAAGCTAATAAGATTTGGTGTTGATGATGGTTTGCTGAGATAAATAGAAACTCAAACAAGAAAAGTTTTGATGATGCATTAAACGCGTAGGATTGTACAGCACATATCAAGCACTCTAATGTGTTTTAACTTTTTCGTATGACAGTCATGGATTAAGTTTCAGATACCGGTGCAGTGACATTCCGGTTATAGATAAGTCTCTCCCTGAGGAGAGGTGGAAGAAGGATCCTGTAGCTTCGCGTCTTTGTGGGCCTTCTGAAAATCACATGATATGTTGAAATATTTGTAAAGAAGGTTATACATCATTAGTATTACCTAGTGATATTGGTTGAATGGAACTCCTTTGGGTGTAATCAAAGGTTCTTCTTGAGAATCTATATTTTTTTAATCGGGAAGTCGAACTTAAGAGCTCTTTCACTACAAAGCTCAGTTAGTGGTGTCATAACTTAAAAGGTCAATTAAGTACTTAGTCATTAGGAGATTTAAATTGTATTTGTTATGTGATGCCCCCTTGCAACATGTTTTCTCTGTCTCTCTCCTTGTTTCTCTATCTGGAAGTCCAGATCCAGAGCTTCATCTCCAGCTTGAAGTTTCAACCGCCGTCCTTTGCTCTTGTTCAGGATAGGCAGCAGCTCGCTACTCCTTCCCTTCTCCTTCCCTCCTTTGCCTTTTCCATCTTTTTACACCCCTCTCACTTCCTCTACCCCATCCCCCTCCCTCCATCCATCTCTTCTTCCTCTCGCCTTTCCAATCTCTTTTTTTTTGGCTTCTCCATGAGTTTTTCTTAGTTTTCCCTAAGTCAGGTCTCAACTATCTCCTGAGCTTGTTTCGGATTTGGGCTTCATGCCCCTTATCCAGCGTCTTTTGCCTACTTTTACTGCTTTCTGTCTTTTAATTTTCTTTCATCCCTCCTCCTTAGTTGTGACACTTCATCCCCATCTAACCTGTACTCGAATAGGTGGGCTCCGATTTCTATTGGATTCCAAATCTACTATCCTCTCTCACTTCCCCTTCCCCAACCGGCATGCCGGATCCTCATCGTGAAGGGGACTTGGATATGGTGTCTACTTTTTTGGTTCGAAATTTGGCTTCCACCGAGCATGTGACAACGACAGTGGTCTGGTTTATGTACCTTGAGATTAGAGTTTTTTGGTTGTTTGTTTTTCCAGCCTTCTAACCTAAGTTTGTGAGGGTTTTCCGTTGTTTCTTGGGTTGCAGCCCTCATTTTGTTTGGGCCTTTTACCTTATCTTTTGTTTGTTTATCAGGTTTTTTTTGGGCCTTGTACTAGTTTTTTAATGTTATGAAAGTTCTTTTGACAAAAAATTGAAAAAAAGTACTCAGTCATTAATTAAGACTAGTATTAATAAAGATTAAGACCAATTTTCCGGTATGGAATGTATATTTTGTTTGTTTTGCCTCACATACAGTGTAATTTTCCTTTATTTAAGCAATGATCAAGGAGCCACTCAAACTTAATTAAACAAGAAACGCACTGGTAACGCATAAATACATCAATTCATCTATTTTTTGGCTTCCACTAACCCTATTTAAATTGATCAAGTTACTTATTAGCATAAGGTAGGTGGGTTCTAGGTTTTAAGTTTCATTAGTTAATGGTTTGACTGTACCAACTCCAACAATGGTTAGTTGTCGTTGTCTTATTAATTTGTCATTATCCATGTCAGCATAATATTGTGGTACAACTTGTTACGTGAGAAAATGATGATATATTGATAACGAAAATGACTACAAGACATTTGAAGGATACGATATGGTACGAAGGGATATTTATTCCAAATTTGACGTGGGAGGATTGGCATCCATTAGATTACATGAATGGTCAAGATTTGTTTAAATGCACAGATGATAAATGCAAAGATTCAGAATCTAATTATAATCATAACAGAAAAAAAAAAACTTGAACTCGAATCATAGAGTCATAGAGGATTAAGCAAGCCAGAACTACACATCATGATTCATAAGCCGGACTATGACTGCCAAAGCAACCTACCGTTCCGCAAGGAGTTAGGCCCCTTGTAGAACATCCTCCTTGTCATCCTATGGAGGTGGTGTGTTGAAAATCAATGTCAAAGATGTTGAAAATCAATGTCAAAGTTAGGTAAGGAAAATTAGGCAATGTTAGGCATGGTTGAATAAAAATAAATTAGGTGCAATTAATGTGTTTTGTGTGGTAATAAATAATCTTAGTTTATTCATTTGGTTTGCTATAAATACCCAAGTTCTCAAGCATTGTAAATCATCCAAAGAAAAACAAAGCCTAGAGCTAAATAAGAAAAGCTTTGCTAACTAGTTTGTTTTGTGAGCTTTCTTTAAGAGTGTGTTCTATTTTCTTCTTCTTGGGATCATTAGAGTTATCTTGGATACTCTTCTTATTCAACAATTGGTATCAGAGCCAAGTCGGTCAGGGATCGGTCTTGGTAGAGCATTGGTTGTAAAGTCTCTTGGAATTCCGAGTATGCTCTGTGGTTGCAGTTTTGACTGATCTTCCACATCAGAAAAGGTTTCTTGAGATTATTGCTGGGGTTATCACAAACCTTGAGAGGGAGCTTCTTTGTGTCGAGAGTAGTGTATTACTCTGCACAGTAGTCACTCAAGTTTGCTCGGTATAGTCAAAGTCTTGCCGATACGATGGGTGATCTTCAAGTTGTTGGAGGAATCAAGAAGCTCAACAACCAAAACTATAACACGTGGGCAACGTGTATAGAGTCTTACCTTCAAGGTCAAGACTTGTGGGAGGTTGTCGGTGGTAGTGAAGCTACACAACCGGCAGCGGAAGATGCTAACGGCGTCTTGCGGAAGTGGAAAATTAAAGCAGGCAAATCAATGTTTGCTTTAAAGACCACAATAGAAGAAGAAATGTTGGAGCACATTCGGGATGCTAGAACGCCAAAGGAAGCATGGGACACTTTTGTTACACTCTTTTCGAAGAGGAACGATACAAAATTGCAACTTCTCGAGAATGAGTTACTATCGATGGT